TCCCCCCTTCCCCACCCCGCTTCAGGATATCTGTATCTAAGGCTGACCTCAAACTTCTCAAAATTGGTACTTGCAGGGCCATGAGACTGAGTTGCTAATCTTTCTGCTCCCATCTAAATGTGATTCCATGCATCTATCACCATGATACATACAACCATAGTTACATTCTATATTAAAACCTTCTTCATCTTTAAGAATTATTTTACAACTTGGTTCCAAAGCTAAACAGAGAAACCTTGTTTCTAAAAACAAAAAAAAAATTTTTTTTTATTTGTATGAATGTGTTGCCTGCTGAATACCTTGAAACTGGTGGTGGTGAGCCACCATATGGTTATGGTGGTTGAATTGTACCTCTACAAGACCGATATGTGCTCTTTACTGTTGAGCCATCTCTCCAACCCTCAAAACTTTTTCATTAGAACTGGAGAAATGGCTAAGAGGTTAAAAGCACTTGTTCTCAGCATTTATATAGTAGCTCACAACCTTCTGTCCCAAGGGATCCAACACCTTCTGGTGCACATACAGCATGTAGGCAAAACACTCGTGTGTGTGTATGTGTGTGTGTTAAAAATTAAAAAAATCTTTTTCACCATCTCACCTAGAAACGTTGTACTACTGATACAAAAATTTACAATCTTTTGTCCTCAGACCGTGGTACCCCAACATTTTATTATGAAAACATTCAAGCAAATGCATGCAGAAAGTTAAAGAATTTTACAGTAGGGCCCAAGTGATGGTTCAGCAGGTTAAGGCATCTGTCTCCAAACCTGACAACCTGAATTTGATCCCATATGGTTGATGCAGAGAACCAACTCTCTCTCTCTCTCTCTCTCTCTCTCTCTCTCTCTCTCTCTCTCTCTCTCTCACACACACACACACACACACACACACACACACTATAATTTTGTTTTGTTTTGTTCTTGAGACAGGGTTTCTCTGTGTAACAGCCCTGGTAGTCCTGGAACTCTCTCTGTAGACCAGGCTGGCCTCAAATTCAGAGGCTTGCCTCTGCCTCCCAAGTGCTGGAATTAAATGTGTGTGACATCACCCCCTCCCCCCAGCTGAGAGCTTATTTTATGTATCTATTTAGTTGTGCTGGTGATAAAAGCTAGAGCCTCGAACATGCTGGTTCAGTGCTCTACCAGTGAGAAACACCTCTAGTCCCATTATTTTGTTTTCTTTTGTGTTTTGTGGTTGTTGCTGCTGCTGTCATTGTTTTTTGAAGCAGGGTTTCTCTGTGTAGACCAGGCTAACCTCAAATTCAGAGACATCCACCTGCCTCTGCCTCCTGAGTTATGGGATTAAAGGTGTGGACCACCACTGCCAGGCTACTTTTGGGGTTCTGAAATAGGGTCTTACTGTACAGTTCTGGCTGTTCTAGACATGCTATATATGATACAGCCCCAGCTGGTCTGTCACTAGCAATTCCGCCTATGCCTCCTAAGAGCTGGGGTCACTGGTGGTGGTGGTGGTGGTGGTGTGTGTGTGTGGGGGGGGTTGGAGTTCTTTTGTTTTAACTATTAGATTGATTCATTTTATTTTATGCGTGTGTTTTCCTGTATGTGATATGAATGTGTATCATGTGTCTGACAAGATTGGAAGAGGGCGACAAGATTGGAAGAGGGCGTTGCACCCCCTGGAACTGGGGTCACAGATGGTTGAGCCACTTTGTGAGTGCTTGGAATGGAACCCAGGTCTTTTATAAGCACCATCTTTCCAGCCCAAGCATCTAAGTTTTCTGACTTATATTTCAATTTCTTTTAAATAAGCACGTGGGCAAGGAAATCTGGGCTATTCTAGGTATTATTCAGTATTATTTGAACATGTTAGTCATTGTCCCTACCTTAACTTTTTAAAAAGCAACAACATTGAGTCCTCTGTGAAAAGAAACCCAGAGCTCCATTTGGCCACTCTGAAGAAATAACGTTCCTTGAACTCCGCCCTCTTGCCCGCCCTAGCTCTGTCTGTGGTTCTGTTATTTGGGTCTTGATTGAGGGACACAGAGGGGCGGAGCCAGAGGGAGTCCTCACGTCTGAGGTTCAACTTCCTTCTTTGCTGCTTTGGGTTGTAGTGCGCATACACGATACTCTGCTAGCCGCTACTGCTGAGGTCAGTTTCGAGGGAGGCACAAAGCTGCTTTTGAATTTCCTTCTCTAAACCCAAATCCAGGGTTGGAGGCACACAGTTGGAGGGAGGGGTTCCTCCCTTATAATATTTCCTCTTGTAGAACTCTTTCCAGGCTTTACCCATTCTCTCCCACGGCAAGGTCCCAGTCCACTCTAAAGAAACAACTGTAACTTTAGCAAAGGGCAGTATCACGTGATTCTAAAAAGAGCCCCGCCCCACCCCTCCGAGACCTTAGGATACTTTCTCTCCAAGTTTTTGCCTTCCCTCTCCTTTAATTCGAAGCTTGCAAAGAAAAATGTGGTTAGAAGAGATGAACGAGGAAAGAGAATTGATTTTTATGATTTTTGCAGCTTCCAGAGCACAAACCAGGCACAGTGGCTCGCACCTCTGATCGCACTTGGGGTGCTGAAGTAGAAGCTCCAGCATAGGCTACAGTGTGAGACCCAGTCTCAAAAGCAAAAGACCCACCCACACCCACACACATAAACACAATCCCCAAACAGAGTAGGACCTCACCTCCTTCTGCTTCCTTACCTTGCTAGGTGTCTGCTCCCTCCCCACTTCCTTCCCCCACAATGCCTTTGCCTCTCTCTGCCCCCCATCTTCCCTCTCCCACATACATACCTCTCTCCTTGTCTCCTTCAATTTAATGACTTAATTATGATTTGTTGATTACCAATAACTACCTGGGCCTGCCTCTCTTCACACGGCTTTGTGATATATTGAAATGCCAGTAGGTATGTCAAACTCACATTCTCCAGAATAGAACTTTTAGTCTTCTGCAGTACCATAGAACACACCTGCTTTTCTCTCGTCTTCATTCATTAAGTAGCACTGACATTTACATCTCCAGTTGAAAACCTACACCTTACCTTTGATGCCCTCCTCACCTACCACTGAAAGTTGATTTTCCTCCAAAATGTATTTGGAGAATGGGTTATTATAAGGGTGAAAGATGGGACTATTGCTGTAATTCAGGGTAGAAGTGATAGCCTAACCACAGGATGAGGAATGAGGATGGGAGGAAACTAATAGACCCTAAGTAACAGCAAGCTACTTGTTTGTAGACAGGGTTTCTCTGTGTAGCTTTCTTTGGCTGGCTGTCCTGGAACTCACTCTGTAGACCAGGCTGGCCTCAAACTCACAGAGATCTGCCTGCCTCTTCCTCTGGAGTGCTGAGATTAAAGACATGGCATAAGTGGGATGTTATTTTGAGTTATTTACCTTCTTGTTTAAGGAACTTCATGCAGGACAGATTGTCTTAATCTTGGAGGAAGCTGTCTTACATCACTGAGGTCCTCACACATTGTTTTCTTCATTCTTCAAAAGAATTATTTTATGTGTATGAGCGTTTCACTTGCAGGCATGTCTGTACACCACTTAACATGCCTGGTGTCTTCGGAGGCCAGAAGAGAGCCTCCGATCACCCCTGGAACTGGAGTTGCAGACAGTTGTGAGCCACTATGTGGGTGCTGAGAATGAAGCCTGGGCCCTCTGGAAGAGTAGCAAGTGCTCCTAGCCAATGAGTCATCTCACTAGTCCTCTCCACCCTTTAGGTGTAAGAACCAGTCCCAGGAATGAGTGAACAGGGTGCTCCATCCTCTTCCATGGAGACCTGAAAAGGACCCAGGAGCCCAAAGGCCAGCAGAGGGCAGTGAAAGAGAAGTTTGGTTAACTGTCTGAGACTATGGCAGCTAGAGTCAAAGGAGGTTACCATTGCTCCATCCCACGCACAAAATTCTAGGTGCTGTAGCATGGGGCAACCTGACCAGGAAAGTTCGTGTGTGTGTGTGTGTGTGTGTGTGTGTGTGTGTGTGTGTGTGTGTGTTGTGTGGTGATGGAGGTTTGGATGTGGCAGTCACCCTCCAGGCCTCTGTTTCTCCAATATAAAATGAAAGTGCATGATAGAATTTAAAGGCTTTCTCTCTGGTTTCTTCACCCCACTCTCCAGCAAGGTCAGATCAAGGCTGGATGGAGTAAAGGTAACTTGAGAACCAATGAGGGGTTGAAGGAGGGAGAGGTGAGCACGGGAGTTTGGGATTTCAGAGAGCCAAAGGCAGACCTCCATAAAGGACAGGAGTCCAGACTCCGATTCTGGTCATAAACCCCAAGCTCATGGCCCAGCTCCACCCAGAAGTTTCACAGGCTAGAAACCATTGCCACTACTCAGACTTTGGGGAGGAAAGAGGAGGAACCAGTCAGTCGGTGGTGGCGCATGCCTTTAATCCCAGCACTTGGGAGGGAGAGACAGAGGTATCTCTGTGAGTTCAAAGCCAGCATGGTCTACCGTGTGACCTTCAGGACAGCCAAGACTGTTACACAGAGAAACTGCCTCGAACGAAACAGAAACAGCAAAACAAAAACAAAAAAACCCGGAAAGAGTAGGGACCTCTTTGTGCACTCATTTCTGAACTGCCCTGCCAGCTGGATCCAGTCCCGCAACCCAGGCCCATTGGGTTAGGCAACCTCAAAAGCATCAACCACCCACCGCCTCCCAGGCTTGCTCTGCCAGCCGCGCCCCCGCCCCTCCTCCGCCCTGCCCCGCCCCGCCTGCATCCCTCGCCTCAGCCTCTGGGCCGGAAACCCCCTCCTCCTCCCTATCCCCCATCTCCCCAGTCTGTACCCCCCCCCAAGTCCCTCTCTCTGCTTGAGTCCGGGAAACCTCTCTCCGCCCTCTTCCTGCTTCTTCAGCTCCGCCCGGGTTCTTCCGTCCATTCCCGGAGCTCAAGACCAGCCCCTCCCAGGATCCTCCCTGGCGCCGCCCCTGCATCCCCACCCGGCCACGCTCCTTCTTGCGCTGCAGGCGGGGACTGGGGGGCCGCTGCACTCCTCCCAGGCCCCGCCCCCGGCCCCCGGAAGCCCCTCCCCGGCCTCGGCCCCGCCCCCCGAAGTTTCTTGGGCCCCGGGCGGCCGGCGGGACAGAAGACAGCGAGCCGCCGCCCGGCTGCACATAGATGGGGCAAGTGGAGCCCGCGCGGCGCGGGCAGCAGTAAGCGGCTGAACGGCCGGACCGCAGGGACTCGCCATGGAGGAGGAGGTGAGGGCTGGGCCAGACGGAGCATGGTGCTGGACAGTGGTCCTGCCCGACCTACTTCCACCGGTCTCTGCACACTCTTTTCCTTCCTTCAGGCAGAGCCTGGACCGATAGGGTAGGGGTGGAGTGGAGGTCTAGTCCTGCACCTCAACGACAGCATCCTCGGTTATGTTTTGGGCTTTTCTCACCAACTGGAAACAGTGTCTGTCATGATTCCCATTGAATTGGCGAGGAGACTGAGACTCTGGAGAGTTGGGTGACTTGCTGAAAGTGTATTGGGTTGCTGCGACTGAATCCCGTTACACCGTTTCTCGGCTTTTCTTGCCTGCCAAGGCCAGGTCTACTCCCGAGGGGGTCAGATTGCTTATGTTTGTGTGCTAGGGCAGGGAAATTCTTCAGGGTCCTGGGCCACTGTCTGAAGGAACGAGGCTGTAATGGAACCAGGTGGTAGGACCGAAGAAATTGCTTTTGTCTTCCTTGTGTAAATCTCTCAAGAGTCCCCACTGCTTTTGCCCTGTCTTTTTGAGAATGTTAGTTGAAAGGCCAGGCCAGCTAACTGTCCCAGAAGTAAAGGCTGGATCAGCAACGCCCCTTGGCCTCTTCTGCCCTCTGCTCTTGCAGGTTTCCCATTATCCAGGGGTCCAGTATTCAGCAGTCACCGACTGCATGCTCATGAAATAACTAAAAGGAAGACTTTCTTATCCTTTGAAGGGTGGGGAAGAAAGATGAAGCTTTCCCTCCTGGAGCCCCCCTGGCCAGCCGGGGTGCCTTCAGTGATCTCAGCTGCCTGCGTTCCTGTCAGTGTCCACTTGCGTATTTCCTGGAGCAGCAAAGCTCTGTTCCTCTAGGCTAGACCCTGAGTTTGTGTGGGATGGTAGATAAGTCACTTCCCCTCTCAGTTTGTGTTTCCTCTTCTATAAAGCATAGGGCCTAGCCTCGTCCCCTATACCTAACAGTATGATTGTAGTCCCTGAACTCAGAGTGGGTACAGGTAGGGGGAAAGTCAGGCCGCTATGGTTTGCTGTGGTTTCTCTTGCTGTCACGGGTGGGGCTGCTGCCTGCCCTTCCATTCCCCTTCTGTAATGGCTGTGCTCTCTGCCCAAGGCCCCTCCCCTGTTCCCAGAGGATGTGGGTCAGGATTATTCCATCTCCTGATCTGCTCTGGTCCCCAGTTAAAGGAAGTTCTCCTGGGGCTTCCTGGGCTCAGGACAGCCTTATGCTCCCTCAGATCCATAATCGCTAACATTGCTACTTTCTGACTCCCAGATACCAAAGCCTCCTGACATATCCGGGCCACTAAAGTCTTGCCCATGTTACTTCCTCAGTGTAACCCCCCAGGTCTTATCCACAGAGTCAGGGGGCTCTCTGTGCCTGTCCTCTCTTTGGTACCACTAACTCTCGTTGCTTCCTACTTAACAGTGTTCACTTGTTTCCCTATGCCTGAGTGTCCACCCTTCTTTTAAATGCCTCTTAACTATGGTCACTCACTCTGCCCCTGACCTCAGGCCACCTTTTCACCTCACTTTCACATAGTTGCTTTCTGCCCTCAAGCTTTGCACTTCCTGGGTCCCAGGCACCCTGGGGCCAAGCCTCCCATGGCCTCTGTGTAGGATGTAGGATGGGGGTCCCTGTCAGGCTGAGGCTTAGAGAAGTGCTGGTCTGGGCTCTAGCATCCGTCTGTGTTTTCTGGTCCTCATTTTCCCAATTGAAAAATGGGAAGGGAAGGGAAATCCAGAAATTTGATAATGTGTGTGCAAAAGCTTTGAAAACCAAAGATATCAATAGAGGTGTTGTTGCTGTCCCTGGAGTAAGGCTGGAAACCTTAACTCCCTGGTTCTGCTCCATTGCCCTCCCAAAATCATGCCTTTCCCTGGCTGCAGACTGGCCACTTGCCTTGACCCTCATTGAGACAGGCATGTCGGTATCCTGTCACAGCACTGGTTTTATGACACTGGGCTAACCTCTTGCTCTTTCTGCTGTGCCTTTTTTTTTTTTTTTTTTTTTTTTTTTTTTGTAGTAAAAAGGTTGAGAATGTTGTCTTTTTAATTTTTAAAAAAACTTTATATGTATGTGTGTTTTGCGTGCATACATGTCTGTGAACCACTTGCATGCCTGGTGTCTGTGGAGGCTGGGAGAGGACATCAGAAATCCTGGAACTGGAGTTAAAGATGTTTGTGAGCTGCCATGTAGGTGCTATACCTCTGGAAGAGCAGCCAGTTCTGTTAACTCTGAGCCTGCTCTCCAGAGCCACGAGAATGTAAAATCTCTGATGCCTTTTTTTGTTTTTATTTGTTTGTTTGTTTGTTTGAGACAGGGTTTCTCTGTGAATTTGGAGGCTGTCCTGGAACTAGTTCTGTAGGCCAGGCTGGCCTCAAACTCACAGAGATCCTCCTGCCTCTGCCTCCTGAGTGCGGGCTTAAAGGCATGCGCCACCAACGCCCAACTCGCTGATGCCTTTTTGCCTTTACTTCTCCATATACACCTGCCTTCTGAAAGGACTTCATACCAACCCCAAGCCCTTGCCCCAGCAGTAGGCTAATATGGGGGAATCCCCAAGGGTAAGTGCCATGAGTGTCCCAACAGACAAGAGCTCCCTTGAGGAGAAGATAGCCATCCACCCTCCTAAAGCTTCCCTACGGGCAGGTTTTTGGTTTTTTTTTTTTTTCCTCTCTCCATATGCTTCATTCTAGAACTCTGATAAAATAGGTCCTTAGTATTTTTTTCTTTTGAGATTGGGGTCTCACTCTACAGTCCTGGCTGGTGGCCTAGTATTCCCTATATAGATCAGGCTGGCCTGGAACGCAGAGATCATCCTGTTTTTGCCTCCTAAGTGCTGGGGTCAAATGCATGTGCTACCATGCTTGCCTTGGAGTGAGTTTAGCAGACTATCATTGGGTTTAGTCAAAGAGCAGAAGTCATTACAAGCTACCTGGCACGTGCCATGCCAACAAGGCTTCTTCTGCTGGCATCTGTTTGTTGTAACTTCATTGTAGCTTTTCAGCTATCCCTTTCCTACTCAGGGTCAGGGTAACCTGTCTCTCTTTTCTCCTTGCTTTTAGAATAGCCCTGAGACACTCCCATATCAGGCCTAGGAAGCCAGGCTGATGCCATGGGGTACTTCAGGAGCTGCTTGCAGTCGGCGGGAGGAGGCCTGCTGAGGATGGCTGGGAGGGGAACAGAAACGGTGGTCAGCTGGTCAATAAGAAGAGAGGAGCTGGAGAGACTGGACTGAGCAAGACAAAACCTCCCCTGTGAACCCTGCCAAGGGAGGGACACCATGTTAAAACTTACTGGGGTGCAGCCAGACCCCTGGTGGGAGGAGGTCTAAGGGGCAGGGAGGAAGTTTGGTGGAGGGTGGAGGCAAGTAGGACCTTGGCATTTAGCCAGGCCTCCTGTAGGATGGCTGGGCTTTGCTTCACACCATCTGCAAACCCTCAGCTGTTTCCTCCCCTAACCTCCCCTAGCTCTCCTGCCCAGGCCATCCTGGTCCCACCCATCCTTACAGACCTAGGCCTAGCTTCCCTAGCTAATCTAGTCTTAGTATTCACTAGGTACTGGTGTGCATACCCAGTCCAGAGGTGACAGCAATGAAGGCCTAGGTCCAACCCTGGCCCCCAGAGCTTCCATGTCAGATAGTGGAGGTGGCAGGTAAGGCAGATCCCAGTGACTTGAGATTCCCTTTAACTGGGTGGTGGGTTGCACTCTCTGGAATCAGAAGAGAAACTTGGAGCTCAGAGGTGGGAGATGTGAACAGCACCACCTTCACATTCCATCACTTTGTTTAGGAGACAATGAGCTCAGGGCTCGGAAGTGGCCATCAGTGCTGGCATGCTGATAGAGGTGTGCGTGTGTATAATGTGGGCATAAAGATTCCTAGCCTGGAATTCTTCTCTTCCAGGCCTGGACCCTGTGATGGCCTGCCTGGGTCACTGAGAGACTTAATCCTGGGCATCCCCCAGCCTATGAGAGCCTAGCACATGTCATTGTGTCAGCAGTGGCTAGGGAGAGCAGTTGGGTACAGGACTGAATGGGGAACCTCCCTATTGTTATCAAAGAGCCCCGAAGTCTCTTCCCTTTTGCCCTGGCAGGGTGGCTCACAACCGTCAGCCTCCTCACTTCCTCATTCCTGCATCCGGGAAGATCATTTGGAACCAGCCCACTTCCCCATTTCTCTTGTCATCCACAAGTTAGAAGACCAGAAGGAACATCCCACATTCCTGGAGATGTGGGGCCAGCAATGATGGGCAGTGACAACAGTAACAAGAGTGACAGCTGCCAATCACTAAGCTCATGGTACCCTAGGATATGTACCTTGCTTTTATTTAGTAACAGGCATACATCAAGCCCTTGACTCTGTTCCAGGCACTGTCTAGGCAGCAGTCGAGGGGCAGCAGTAAACAAAACAGAGCCCCCTGCCTTTGTGGAGTCCTGTTTCTATATTGATCTTAGTCAAAAGGCAGAAAAGCGAGATGGATCCCTATTTATATGGGAACTAGGGAACTATTAGCATCTTCACTCCCCAGGAGAACAAACTGAGACACAGAAAGAGGTGGCGGCATTTGCTCTACCCCTTTCTGGTCTGTGTGACTTGGGCTCTAAAGCCCATGCTCCCAGTGAAGCAGAAGGGGTGGCCTTCCAGGAGGTAGAGGGGTCATAGCAAGAAGCAGGCAGAGCCTCTCTGCCATAATACAGAAGCCAGGCCCTGCCCAGCTCCTGACAACTCACACACTTATATCTGCCTGGGCTTGTCCTTCCAAAGACATCTGTGGCCACAGGCTATCTCTGGGGAGAGGCGTGCCTTTAAATGGGGCCCCTTTTTGAAGCTCTATGTAAATAATAATGTAGTTGAAATTAGTCAGTGTTGATTTCCTTCTAGTGTCCTCTAGGTTCTAATGCACTCTTGATCATTTCTCTACCCTCCTCTTCCACACTCAGTACCCCAGGAGCCTCTAAGTTCAGCACAGTGGTCACTTAGCAGAGAGGGTATGTCTATATTTTTATTTTTATGGATAGAACCTCAGTGTTCATTAGGTGTCAAAGAGCAAGATTAAGTTTAGGACTCAGAGGTGAATCTGACCCCATTGGGTAGGCATGTAGACATCTATGTACCTGTGTACCCAGCATCCAGCCATCCACCAGCTCATGGATGTGGCATGAGAAGTGAGTGACAGACCAGGGGGCTGCTGTGTAGCTACCTTCTACAGAATGATTTGAACTTAATTCCTATACCAGCCTGTGATGGAAGAGACAGTTCCCAGAGCCCTCATCAGAGGAAGTAGCTGCCTCACAGTCCTAGCCTGGCATGGGGATGAGAACTAAGGAGTCCCTGCTTCAGGGCAAGAAGCTGGATTTGGATTCTCTAGAAAGTCAGGAAGATGTATGTATGTATGTATGTATGTATGTATGTATGTATGTATATATATATATATACACACACACACACAGAGAGAGAGAGAGAGAGAGAGAGAGAGAGAGAGCTGAGTGCCTTATTCTTTCTGGTCCCTCTTGTCCTTCCAGGCCTGGCTCAAACATCCTCTGTTTCTGGCCACCAGGTTCCAGTATCCTCTTGCACACCAGTGCCTACTTGCAGGCTTTTCTTTTTCTATTGCATTTGTGTGTGTGTGTGTATGTGTGTGTGTGCACTCATATGGAGATCAGAAGATAGCTTGTAGGAGTTGGTTCTCTTTTTTATGTATACAACATTCTGCCATCATGTATTCCTGCAAGCCAGAAGAGGGCACTAGATTTCTTTATAGATGGTTGTGAGCCACCATGTGGTTGCTGGGAATTGAACTCAGGACTCTGGCCCAGCAGTTGGTGCTCTTAACCTTTGAGCCATCTCTTCTTCCACCGTATGGGCTGTGGGGATTGAACTCAGGTCATTAGGTTTGGTGGGAAGAACTTTACCTGCTGAGCGATCTCCCCTGTCCCTCCACAGCACTTTGCGCTAGTTAATGTTTGCATTTCTGGGCATTTGTTTGTTTAGCTGCTCTATCTCCCCACTGTGTCCTCTGTGAAGGCAGATTGTATTGCTTTTGTTCTCTCTCCTGTGACAGGTGATATTATTATATGGCCTCAATACATTTGTTCACCAGTTTAAGGAACACTAGAAGGCACAGGGGAAGAAAATGAGTTCAGAGAGACCTGCTTTGAATTTCGGTTCTGTCTCTGTAGCTACGTGATCTGAATTCCAGTTTATGGTAACAAGTGGCTAACAGTGGCTAACATCTTGGAGAGCAATTGTAAAAGTTACATGGAAGTATGTGTGGAGTCCAGCACAGTGGCTCACGTGTAAGGTAGACACTGGTACTATTGCTTTTTTCTGTTATCTGCCTTGAGGGTTCCTGAGGAAACTTCATGTAGGATGATGCATCCCCTGTGTGGTCTGTGGACCATATGGCTTCATGGCAACAGCCCTCATGATGTGTTCTGGTGCTGTCTTACAGAGTATGAAGGAGGGGAGCGACAAGCCTCGTGGAGCACGGACTGCAGACAAGGCTGGCTGGATCAAGAAGAGCAGTGGGGGGCTCCTGAGTTTATGGAAAGACCGCTACCTGCTTCTCTGTCAAGCCCAGCTGCTGGTCTATGAGAATGAGGTGAGGACTTCCGTGGCCCCCAACGGAGGCAAAGCGAGCCAGGCAGGCCAGCAGGAGGAGCACCCTGAGACTGGGGCTGAAAGACTCACTCCATTTTGTTTATTATTCAGTTGCTTTTTCATTTGGTTTGAGACAGGGTCTTACTCTGTAGACCAGGCTGGCTGGCCACAGACTCATAGAGATCCACCTGCCTCTGCCTCCCAGTGGCTGGAATCAGAAGTGTGTGCTACCATACTGACCCCCACTTCACTGTAGACACGCTGTGTCACCTGGGCAAGTGCCTTATTTCTTTTGGGTCTTTGTGTATATTATGGAGGGAGATGCTTTAAGCTTAGGGCTCCTGTGTGAGACATCTGTGGCCCTCTGTGTATGTTGTATGTGAGTCTCCTCAACTACCTACCCATATGCTGGAACTTCCTGGTTTTGGCCAAAATTTTATAGAAGTATTTGAAAAAAAAAACAAAAAACTGAAGACATTTCCGTCAGCGTTGGCACTAAAAATACTAATTAACCCTTAACCTTCATACTTTTTAAATTTATTTGTATTCATGCATTCATGTTTGTATGTGCACCCTGTGTATAGTGCTGAGGGAGGCCAGAAGTGTGCATCATCACAATGCCTTTAATCCCAGTACTCACAGAGGCAGGAGGATCTCTGTGAATTGGAGGCCAGCCTGGGCTATATAGTGAATTCCAAGACAGCAAGGACTACATAGACAGACCCTGTCTCAAAAACATCATCAACAACAAACAAACAAACAAATAAAATAATAAATACTCCTTGCCATCTTCAACAGCAAAGGTAGGCCTGAAGGGTTTTCTAGTTGGAATTGGTACTAGAAACTTTCACTGAGGCTTGGAGTCCTTTATTAGACTTTGTAACTGCCAGGCTGTTCCAAAAGCTGAAAACTTCAGCTTTTCTCTGTCCTTTAACACTGAGCTAACAGTTGGCCCTTATTAAACATTTATTTACTTTTTATACATGTACATGTGCACAACACATGTGCATGCATGAGTTTTTCTTCTGTGAAGGTTTGTATGTGCCAAGGCATATGCATAGAGATTGGAAGACAACCTTGGGTAACAGTTCTCACCTATTACCTTGTTTGAGGCAGGGTGTCCCTTGTCTGCCTACTCGAGGCTAGCGAGACCACAAGCCTCCTGGGGATTTTCCTGTCTCTGTTTCCCATCTCAAGGCAGAAATGCTGGGGTTACACTTAGATTCTCATCCCCTTCCTAGGTTTAGGATTTGGACAACTAATCCTCAAATTTACAGCCTTTTACTTATAATCCTAGCAAGACAGGATTGCCCTGAATTTGAGGCCATTCTAGACTATAGTGTGAGACTCCATCTCAAAACAAAAGCAAAAACGATTAACTAAGGAAGCATCAGGAAGAAAGAAAAGAAAAGCACCTTGCCTGTCCTGCTGACTCCCCCCAGAGTCTGGATGAGGGAGAAGCTGTGGGCGAACAGTAAGGAATGATGATGAGCAGACAGCCTCCCAGATGTTCTCTACTTACCAAATTAGGATGTGCCACAGCTGGGAAAGTGGCAGACTAGGAATATTTTTATTAGACAAAGAAAAGGGGGAGGAGGGCTGATACGTTTTTTCCAGTGCCAGCTGCTGCAGGAGTTGAATGACAGGCCCTCAGCTGTCAGCACTGCCATACTTGTCCTAGACTGCCTCTCCACATCTGGCCACAGCTGGGAAGCAGGAAGGGTTTCACATTCCCTAAACATGAAAAATCCAAATCACTCACACTTAAAAAAAAAAAAAAAAATCACTATTAGAAACGTAAATGTGATTCCAAGAACTTAGCACCCAGGGATGGAGCTTGGCTCAGGAGAAGGAATTGAGAAATGCTTATTAGTTCAATTCCTCTTTCTGATGTAAGGAACTAGGCGAGTGCAGACGGCTCTTGGCTGTTTCTCTGCTGTCAGAGGCTGATGTTCCAAAACTGTTGCCCCCGCCCAGTGCCTCCTGCTTTATCCTTTCCTCTGAACTGCAGAAGGCCCTGGATGATTCAGCACTTTGGGAGCTGAGGAGTTGTCCCAAGCCAGGCAGCCTTGGGGAGCTAGGTAGTGAAGACAGACTGAATTTGTTCCTAAGAGGGTACATTTGGGCTAGTAGTTGTCCACTGGGGAGCCTGGGTAGGTATTGATGTGGTGTTGTTACTGGAGCTTCTCCTGGATGCTCAGGAAGACTTTAAAGGTCTTACTCTAGGCTAACAAACTGGACTCTCTCTCTCTCTCTCTCTCTCTCTCTCTCTCTCTCTCTCTCTCTCTCTGTCTCTGTGTGTGTGTGTGTGTGTGTGTGTGTGTGTGTGTGGTGTGTTTTGTGTGACCCCAACTGGCCCTGAACTGGCTAAGAATGTCCTTGAATTTCTAACTCTCTTGCCTCCACCTCTGAGTGCTGGGATTATGGGTGTGTGCCCTGTGCTGGCTAGTGTCAACCTGACAGAGGCTAGAGTCATTTTGGAAGAGGGAATCTCAGCTGAGAAAATGTCACCACCACACTAGCCTATGGGTGCCAGTCATTTTCTTGCTTGATTATTGATGTGGGTAGGCCGCTCTACAGAAGGCGTTGCCACCTTTGGTCTGATGGTTGTGGGTGCTATATATAAAAAAAGCAGGCTGAGCAAGCAGTGGGGAGCAAGCCAGTGAGCAGCATCCTCCATGGCCTCCATCAGCTCCTTTGCCCAGGTTCCTTTTCCTGCCCTGACTTCCCTGAATATAGACTTCAAGTTGTAAAATGAAATAAACCCTTTCCTCCCTAAGTTGCTTTGGGTCATGGTGTTTATCACATGATAAAGTAAGACAACTGCCAAGCATTATGACCTGAATTCAACCCCCAGGGTCCACATAGAAGGAGAGAAGTGCCCCCCACTCAAGTTATCAGCCATTAAGACAGGCACCGTGGCTGGTTTGTGTGGTGCTGAGGAAGAAACCTAGGGCTTTGCTTATTAGAAGCAAGTGCTCTAACACCTGAGCTACAGCTACAGCCCCTGTATTCCTCTCTCAAGGAATACTTCATATGGCGTGCCACTGGGGAGCATAAAGGAGACAGACAGACACACAGAGAATAAGGGAGAAACAGCCAAGTATGAGATAGAGCTGTGCTCCTCTGTGTCAAGTCTCAGCATTCCTGGTATCTAGTGTGGTACCTGGCAGGTGCTGAACACAGCGCCTTAGGCCACTTGGCCATCCTGACTATGGCGGCTGCTTTATAGATGTTTGCATGCCCACAGTAGTGGGTAAGACACAAGAGCACTAAAGTTTGGAGAATCATTGCAGGTAGCAGGGGAACTCCCCAGAATAGCATATTCTGGTCCATATTCTTCATGGAAGAAGCTGGACGGGACTGAGAATCAGAGGTTAAAAAGAGATATGTGGAAGCAAAAATGGGAAACAACAACTGATGGAACCTGGACAGAGAGATCAGGCCACCCTGGCCATCTAGTCCCTCTTCTCCTGAGAGAAAACAGGTCAGTGGTGGGCTACCTTATCCATATAGCCATCTACCTTGAGTACTAAGGTCTGAGCTGAGATGCTATCTGGGTGTGGGGGTTCTTATAAAAGTCCTTTGCCTTATCTATTTTCTTACTTACCTACTTACTTGTTGGTGGAGGGACATATGTCATACTGTTATTGTGGTCATCAGAGAACAACTTGAGGGAGTAATACTTCTCTCCTTCCCTCTGAGCTCAAAGTTCTGAGGCTCTGAGCATTGAACAGAACATTTACCTATCTTAGTTAGGGTTTCTATTGCTGCAACGAAACACCATGACCAAGAAAGAAAGTTGGGGAGGGAAGGGTTTATTTGGCTTACTTCAGCATTGCTGTTTATCACTGAAGGAAGTCAGGATGGGAACTCAAACAGGACAGGGTCTGGGAGGCAGGAGCTGAGGCCGTGGAGGGGAACTGCTCGCTTCCCATGGCTTGCTTAGCCCACCTTCTTATAGAACCCAGGACTAGCAGTCCAGGGATGACTCCACCTACCATGGACTGGGCGCTCCCCCATTGGTCACTAATTGAGAAAATGCCTTCCTTATATTATAGCTAGATCTCAAGGAGGCATTCCTCAACTGAGGTTCCTTCCTCCAATGACTCTAGTTTGTGTCAAGTTGACACACAAAACTACCCAGTACACATACTTAGCCATCTTGATGGCTCTTATTGCATATATATATATGTGTGTGTATGTATGTATATATACATATATAACACACACATATATATATGTATACATATATATCAGTGCATATATATATATATATCTACATATGTACCCACACATATAATTTTACTGTGTTCATACCTCCCCTTCCCCCATTTATCTGTGTATCTCCCTCCCTCCAACTCCTGTCAAACTCTTCCTAACAAGTCTCTCATTTAGTTCCATATTTGGTTGGAGACTGGTTTTGTTATAAGACAGGTTCTCACTGTAGGCACTGGCCTACTTGGAACTCAATGTGTAGACCAGGCTGGCCCCAAACTCAAGAGATCCTCCTGCCTCTGCCTCTCTCAAGTGATGGGATTAAAAGTGTGTGCCACCATAGCCAGTATGTTTTGTGTGTATGTGTACATATGTATGTGCCCCACAACATTTAGCTAGGATTGCTTACATGGCCATAAGTAGGGGGTTATTTACTTAAGCAAGGGTATGTTAACAGTGATTATACCACCAGGAATATGACTTCTTCCTTAGCAATCATTGACTGTCCCAGCTCCTCATAATCCCCTCCCCACCGATGATAGAGTGTTGGTGGGCCTAGTCTTGTGGGAGTCGTATACAGGTAGCCACTGCTGCTGTGAATTTATGGTTGCAACTGTCACATCATGCCCAGGAGATGGTGTTTCACAGTTCTCCTTCCCATCCTCTGGCTCTTACCTTCTCTCCGCCTCCACTTCCATGATGTTTTCTGATCCTTAAAGGGGTTGATAGAGATGTCCTGTTTAGGGTTAAGCACTCAACAGTTAGTTAGTTATTCTTAACACTTTGCTCAGTTTTGACTCTCTGCATTTGTGTTCACCACTGTAAACAGAAAAGAGAGCAACACTAATCTATGGATTATAAACTTATATTTAAAAGGCAGTTTGACAACATGTGCATTTAACAAAACAATAGTAAGTTTAAGTTCCCAGCTAGGACTTCCATAATATGGCCTTTGACCAGATGTTATTTTATTTTATTTTTTTGTTGTTTTGAGATTTATTTTTTGAGGCAGTGGTGACTCATGCCTTTAGTACTAACACTCAAGAGGTAGAGGCAGGTGGATCTCTGAGTTTGAGGCCAGCCTGGTCCACAGAGTGAGTTTCAGGACAGCCAGGGCTGCACAAAGAAACCCTGTCTAAAAAAAAAAAAAAAGAAAGAAAGATTTTGTTTTATGTGCTTGAATGTTTTGCCTGCATGTATATATGTGTACCATGTACCATATTCATGCCTGATATCTCTAGAGATCAGAAGTCATCAGATTGTCCCCTGGAGCTGGAACTATGGGTGGTTATGAAGCACCATGTGGGTGCTGGGAACTGAACCCAGGCTCTCTGCAAGAGCAACAATTATTTTTAACCTCTCAGCTGTCTCTCCAGACCAAAGTTAATAATACCAGATAAGAATTCTCTTCTAGCTAGGCAGTGGTGACACACCCCTTTAATCCCAGCATTTGGGAGACAGAGGCAGGAGGATCTCTGTGAGTTAGAGACCAGCCTAATTTACAAGAGTTAGTTCCAGGTCAGGCTCCAAAGCTACACAGGGAAACCCTGCCTCAAAACACCCCTCCCCCCCCCCCCCCCCCCCGCAAAAAAAGAATTCTCTTTTATAGGCCTCAGATGCAGTCAGAAAGAAGTTGGTTATACCCATAACAGTTGTGACACTATTATATTATTGCACCAATGAGCATATCTCCCTGGCCCATTGATTTGTAGCTTGCAGGTTAATAGCTAGCTAGAAAAGACCATTGATGACTGTTTTCTCCCAGCTGTCCACATAACACCACATAACTTCCAGCACTCTGAAGGCTAGCCAGCTGGAAGGCAGTCTCCTTGCTCAGTTCCATGATTTCTTTCTGTATGTCCTGCAGACAAAATGTGTGGTTTCTTTAGCAGGTTTGGGTGCTAATAGCCTCAAGCTGCTGAGATTGAATATGTCTGGCATAAAGCAATGGATCTCAGGGTTTTACTTACACCAGGGTCACCTGGAGTGATAGCTTAAATTCACATTGTCCTCAGTAGAGGAAGGTGGATCTTTGTGGGTTCAAGGCTGGCCTGGTTTGCAGAGTAAGTTCCAGGACAGCCAAGGCTACACTGAGAAACCCTGTCTTGCTCCCCGAGTTTATGATTGGGTCAGAGGTGCCCACAAAGTTCCGTTTCTAGCAAATTATCAAGTCAAGTGGCATTAATGCACTAGCTGTTGCTTTTGTAGATGTTTGCATGACCCTGGCAGTAAGTGACAGGGGACCTGAATGCATAAAAATACTAGTCTTACACTTGGAGGGCCACTGGCACAGAGCAAACAACTAAGAAGTGACAATTAAGCTGGATGGTGGTGGCCCACACCTTTAATCCCAGCATTTAGGAGGCAGAGGCAGGCAGATCTCTGTGAGTTTGAGGCCAGCCTGGTCTACATAGCAAATTCCAGGCCATTCAGAGCTGTACACATTCATACTACACACACACACACACACACACACACACACACACACACACACACCACATAGGGCCTGCTTCTGCTTCCCAGGAAGTTGTACCAAGTGGGTCACCTCCAGAAGAAGAACCAGTTGACCACTATTAAGGGAAAGCTTATCCTAGGCAGCTTACCCAAGAGGTATCCTATGCCCCAAACCTTCTAGTGTCAGGTCTGGCAGGCAGGAGATTTAGAAGGCAGCCTGGTGTTGTGTGACAAAAATTTTACTGGAGAGACAAAACACACTCATCTACTTATCCCAGATAGGGAACCCACAACAGACCAAAATATGGACACCACCAGAGTCCAGCTTGGTGAACCAATGAGTTTTATTGAGGTTACTTACAGGAATATGGGTGACAGGTTATTTGCAGGAGCAGAAATGACTCAAAGACAGCTGTGTTACCAGAGCCCACCAATCACAAAAGCTGGGAACCTTGAGCACACTGCACAGCTGTCAGCTTAACAGATTGGAGAGTGTCTTCCTTAGGTGCCTCAGTTTGTCTAAGCCCCTTTGGGTAGCTTTTCTTTGCAGCTCAGCTTGTCTGGGTCTTTGCAGCTGGGCTCTGCTTACTGTGCCAGGGAAGGGGCCTTCTGAATCTAGTCATTTTCAGGGGGTTCTTCAAGCTTTGTGTTGTTGCTATTTACCTCCCTGTTTAAGGAGCTCCCCTGAAGGATTTAGAGGAGACTGTCACAAGACAAGTAGCCAGTGGTGGAGACCAGGCACTGTTTGGCCACTGTCCTACGTAGTGATGAAGCTAGAGTGACAGGTTGGCAGGGGGGGGAATGTTCTTACCATCTTGGCCTCTCTGTTATGTATGGCCTTGAGCCTGGGGTGAGGGGCCCCTCTGCCTAGCTAGCAGACAGAACAGGGAGGTGACAAGTGAGGAAGCTGCCAGCCAACTCAGGATCACTTTTGCCTCTGGTTTTGGGACCACTGGACCCAACCCTTAGGCACAAGCCCACCCCAAACTGTGTATCATCCCCCTTCTCCTCCTTCTCCTCCTCCTTCTTCTGTGTAGCTTCTCTGTAGACCAGGCTGTCCTTGAACTCAGAGATCCACCTCTCTCTGCCTCCTGAGTGCTGGGACTAAAGGTGTGCGCCACCACTGCCCAGCTTTGTATCCCACTTCTTACCGGGGTGGCGAACTTTATGGACACCTGCTGCCAGCACACGCTGGCACAGTTTCCCTGCCAAGGTCTGAATACCACATCTTGGTTATCTGATATTCTTGCTGAGTAGGATCAGAGTCTGGAATGTATATTCAGTGATTGAGGCTCTCGGAGGATCTGGCTCTCACTAGACCACTTTTTTGCCTCTCTCCCTCCCCAGGATGAGCAGAAATGTGTAGAGACCGTGGAACTTGGAAGCTATGAGAGGTGTCAGGACCTCCGAGCTGTCCTCAAACGGAAGCACCGCTTTATCCTGCTGCGATCACCAGGGAACAAGGTAGGGGTGATCCTAAAGGCTGTCTCCCTCTGGGCAGTCTGCAGGTTCCCTGTTAGGTGGGCTGAGGTTTACATTTAGCAGCATCCTCTGGTTGATGGATGATGTGGGCTGTGTTGGAACTTCTCCCTTTCTTAGCCCTGTAATGACTATTGCAGGCTGTAGTTGGAAGCAGCCACTGGAAGGCAGACCCTGAATTCTGGACATAGGAGGCACAGGCTGAGAAAGGACAGCTATAGATAAGGCCTCTACTCCAACCAGGCCTTCAGTACCCCAAAAGAGCCTGGAGCAGAGGCAAGAATATGGCACTGACTCCATCCTGCCCTCCAGGCTTCTCTTGGGCCCAGAGCTAGGAAGCCCATAGCCCTAGCTTACCTCCTTTTGTGATTTGCTTTCTTGCCTGAGACTGTCTCCTTTAGGTACAGGTTAAGTTTGCTGTTTGTACCCTTTACATTTTTTGAAGTTTATTTTTATTTTATGAGTATGAGTGTTTGTCTGCATGTGTGTCTGTGTACTACATGCATGCTATGCCTGCAGAGGCCAGGTTGTCAGGTCTTCTGGAATTGTTATAGATGGTTGTGAGCTACCATGTGGGTACTGGGAATCAAACCCAGGTCCTCTAGAAGAACAGCCAGTGCTCTTAACCACTGAGCATCTCTTTAGCCCATCTACCACTTTTCCCTGGAGGAAGACTAAACGTGTGTGTGTGTGTGTGTGTGTGTGTGTGTGTGTGTGTGCAGTTTCATGGATGTCAGGAGGGAGAGCAGATCTGAACCCAGCCAAAGTGCATAGTACTTTTTGCCAGCTCCAGCCACACCTCACCCTAACCTCTCCACACCATGAGGAGTCTGCCAAAGTAAAGGCTTCATCGTAGAAGCTGGGTGAGGGGAACAGTCTGGTCTGGGCCTCCTGGAACCATCCTGTTTGTCTCCCGGGTGAGAAGTTAGGATCCTAGTCTCCTGTGGTCCCGGACACTGGAAGAGATTATTGTGCTTTCCTCTTTAGTCTGTTGTACCCAAGAATGTTTCACCAAGGCAGGGGCAGATGTCCTGAGGGTCAAGGCCAGGGCCCAGGTTCTTTTGATATCTGGGGCTTAGGGTACTTTGAGGACAGAGAAAGCTCTTTCAGACCCTGTAAGCTTTTTCTTGTCCTGGAGACCTGCTGCCCCTCTGAGCAGGTGCGGTCTGCATCTGTGTTTGAGAGGTGCAAAGTACATTGTATACAAAGGCCAGCAGTACCTTTGTCTGCCCTTGCATGTGCACTCCTTAGGTATGGATACCATTTAGCTGTGCCAGGGTCATGTGTGTGTGAGTGTGTGTGTGTGTGTATGTGTGTGTGTTCTGTGGATGTGGGTTGACAGGAAAAGATGTTTCTTTGTTCTTTGCCCATGTCACCTACTTTTCCAGCTCTGAGAATCAGCTAATAGTGTGCTAGGTGGGTCACCCAGCAGTAGGACAACCCCTTCAGAGAAGCCTGTCTGTGTAGCAGCCTCGCGGCTTCTGTGGTAACAGCCTTCCTCCCACCCCTTAGCCCTTCCCAGACTTGAGGTTGGTTCTGGGGGATGACGGGGAACAGGACAGTTTGGGAGATGGGTTGGAGCCAGTGGTGTCAGCTGCAGAGATGAAGATACAACCAGACTGCTGCCCAAGGGCCCTTGACCCTCCTCACTCCACACTAGAGTGTGGCTCCCCAGAGGCTCTGCCTATCCTCCTCCAGTGCCTGCTTTTCCCATCGCCCTGGGTGTTCCCCAACTTCCTCATGGCCTCTAGCTGGCCAGGAGGTCATGTGACCCTGGCTGTCTGGTCCTGAGGCTGCCTTTTTCCTCTCTAATCAAATAAACAAAGACTCCAGTGTCTTCCGCGCCCCGCTCCCCCTGCTGCTTCATCCCCACGCTCCTGTCCATGAGGTCACAGACAGCGGCTGCCAGGAAGCAGGACGGCCACTGCTGGGTCTTGCTGCCCTGCTGGTCTCAGCCAGCTCGGCCCTTTCCTCTTTCCGGCCTCCTCTTCCCCTCCCCCACGCCTTCCTAGCTGCCATTCTGCCCTTCCCCCTTTCCCAGGCCTTGGCTGCCTGTCCTGCAGCCACTCTTATGATCATGGATTTTCCTGCTAGATCTTCTTCAGAGACCATATGGTGTGAAGCTGCAGCCTGAGCGCACCAGGCATACTTTCTTGGTGTCCATTCTGATTGTCCCTATGACGGTCAACACTGTGGTATGTGGAGTTGAGTCAGGATTACGCAGCCCTTTATGGTAGAACTCTCTGAGCCCATTGGTTTTCTCTGAGGCCATATCTCTCCTAGGGAACCGATACCCTCCCTGCCGCCTGTGGCTGGTGGGCTGGGCCAGCGGGGAAGGGGCAACTGAGTCCAGGAGTTCTGTTCTCAACCCTTTGAGGAGCCCCATAGACCCTGAACCCCTAACAGGTACAGCAGCAGGGGTCAGAGAGGTTGCCTATACCCCTAGCACCTCTCAGGATTGGGTGGCCTTTGTAGCCCTGGTATGCCATGTGGTCTCTCCCTGAGCCCCTGCAGTCCTGAAGGCTGGGCTGAGAGGAAGTTGCCAAGGTGCCCTAGGGTTTCTGACTTAACTGCAGATCTGCTGCCAGGATCTAATTTAGCCTGGTCATGCAAATGAGCATTTGGCTGTGGCTGGCATGGAGCAGGGACCTAGGGTCCCGTATGAGGAGGAGGTGGTTGGGCCAGGAGGAAGTTATATAATGAGGATGCTGAGGGGGGCCAGGCCAAGTGCACTGTACTGTGGTGTTACATAACTGACTGGCAGAGTGGCAGGAGGTGCTATCTAATACCAGGGTGGGGGATGGGTGAGCTGGCCACACCAATAAAGATGTAGGGTGTCTTGAGGTCAGAGAGTAGGTAGTGGCCCAGAAACGGGATGAGGGAAGGAACCTAGGGCCAGTTCATTCATGTATTGTCTTGTTCACTCACTACTTATTGAAAACCTATGTGCCAGACCTTAGTTTTGGTCACATTTAATTCCTTTAACGTTGCTCTGTAGTAAACTGTGTTGTCCCATTTTATGGATTAGTAAAGTAAGACTGTGAGGGTAAAAGCTGGGGTTCTATTCACACTCGTTCTGGCCAGCTCCAGATTTGTTTCCTTTGGCACTTTTCTTTGAGACAATCTTGGGTATACAAGCTGGCTTTGAACTTGTAAATCTCCCGCCTCTGCCTCCACCTCCCGGTGGCTGGGATTGCAGGCATGCACAGCCACACCTGGTTTGTGTGAGGGTGGGGATTGTAGCCCAGGGCTTGGTGCTTGTTGGGCAAGCACTCCACTAATAACTAAGCTACATCCCAGCCCTAGATACATCTTTTTAAAACAATTTTGTTGCAGTGGTAAAACGCTGACTATGCTAACCTGAGTATAAGAGTTCATTCCTTAATATGCCCAGGGCAGGGTGGTAGTGGCACATGCCTTTAATCCCAGCACTTAGGAGGCTGAGACAGGAGATCTCTGTGTATTTGAGGTCAGCCTGGTCTATAGAGTGAGTTCTAGAACAAGCTCCAAAGCTACAGAGAAATCCTGTCTCAAAAAACAAAACAAGCAAAACCCCCAAAACATGTGGGTATGATGATGCCCTGCCTATAACCCTAGTGCATGGCAGACAGAGACCTGGAATCCCTAAAGTAAGCTGTCGAGCCAGATCAGCTGAACTGAAGAGCGCTGGATTCCACAAGAGACCCTGCAGCCCATACATAAGAGAGAGTGATCAAGGAAGACACTGGATCTGGGACCTATCATAACCTTGAACCTAGACACACACACACACACACACACACCAGCATGCACACACATTCATGCTCCAGAACATATGAGTATGATGCAGAACACATACCATATACATATGAAAGAAAAATAAGAACTATGATCAAACACACAGAATTATTATTGTTGTTGTTGTTGTTGTTATTATTGTTATTATTATTTTTAGACATGGTCTCACTCTGTGGCTCCTGCCCCTGGCTACCTGGAATGCTATGTAAACTAGAATGAGTTCAAACTCATAGAGATTTGCTTGCCTCTACCTCTTGAGTGCTAGGATTAATGGCATATACCATCATTCCTGACTAAAATTTCCTTAACTATTTGACCTAACTGTTCAGAGGCATTAACTTCATTCCTAAGGTGGTACCATCACCATCTTCCTTCAGAACTCTTTTAAAACTCACAAAACTGCAAGCAAATCCATTAAAAACTGGCTCCCATTCTCTCTTCTTCCAGACCCTCACAGTCACCGTTCTACTTTCTGTCCCTGGTTTTAGTTTTTCTAGGTCCCTCATAGCGGGAGGCAGTCTGTCTCTTGTACTTACTTCATGTAGCATCTTTTTATTTATTTCTCTTATCCTGAGACAAAGTCTTATGAAGTAGGACCGTATCAGAGTCCTATCTTCAGGACGAGGCTGATTGCTAGAGATCGCCGGTCTCTTGACATCACTTCCCCACTTAAAGCTCAGTGTCAGAACTGCTCCCAGTCACTCAGGCTTCACTTTGGAATCTGGGTTGGGATTCTTCCTAAAGACCCCAAATGTGAGCCCTAAAAATATCTGCCATCCTCCCTGCCTATCTCTTACAGGTCAGTGACATCAAATTCCAGGCGCCCAGTGGGGAAGAAAAGGAATCCTGGATCAAAGCCCTCAATGAAGGGATCAACAGAGGCAAAAACAAGGCTTTTGATGAGGTATGGGGGTGTGGTCCTCTGGATGGTTCATTGTTCTCTGACCCATCCCTTTAGGAGAAGATTGTGCCCACCTCACTCCAAACTACCCCGCAGTTCTGCCATTGCTACAAACACTGGGGCATACATGGTTTAATTTCCTAAAAGCCCTTCAAAGTGGGTGGTCACGTCCAGTTTCCACCAGTGAAACCAAGGGATGAGTAAATCAAGTTATAGTTTTTTTCTTTGAGACAGAATGTCATCTTGTTTGGAACTCACTATGTAACCAAGGATGACCTTGTCTGATTCTCCTGCCTTCTCCTGCCTCCTCCCACCCCACCCCACCCCCATGCTAGGATTACAGGTGTACCACAAAGCCTGGTTTGATGAGGTGCTGGAGATTAAACCGGAGCTTCCTATAAGTTAGACAGTGTTCTACCAGCTGAGCCACATTCCCAGCATTTAGGTCTTTTATTTTAAACTAAAAAGCACGTGAGCTAGAAGCATCCTTGTGGGAGAGCATTTGCAAGGGGGTCTTGGGCTCAGTCATCTACAGTGAAAGAGAAAGAAAAGGAATGTAGGTGGTGGGGTAGAATTTACCTGGTTACAGTGTCTATATGTCCTTCCTGCCCAGCCCCAGTAGGTAAAAAACAGTGGCAGCCCAGAGCCTGGGGGATAGGGTGAGCTTAGAGCCCATGAGCACCTTCCCTTTTCCTCTGGCTGTCCTGAAACTCTTTCTGTAGACCAGGCTGGCCTTGAACTCAGAGATCCGCCTGCCTCAGTCTCCTGAGTGCTGAGATTAAAAGTGTGCGCCACCACTGCCCAGCCCACATACTCCTTCAGTTGGCACACAAGCCTGGGCCTGGCAGGGTTTCTCTGTTTGTCTGCAAAGACCTTCTGTTCCTGAGGCCCTTGTGCTATAGTGGTAGCTATGGTAATAGTGGTTTTAAAAGTCAAGCTTGTGCTGGATGGGTGGTGGGATAGATCTCTGTGAGTTCAAGGCCAGTCTGGTCTACAGAGAGAATTCCAGGACAGCCAGGGTTACACAGAGAAACACTGTCTCAGGGAAAAAAAGAAAGTCAGGCTTGGAATGAGTGGTCCAGATGTCCTGTCCCATGGTGCCAGGGTCTCCTAGGAAGGATCTGCCTTTGATATCGTGGGTCCTTAGCTTTTGGGGCTAAAATGTTTTTTTAAAAACAACTTAGGTGGCTGAAGACTTGAGAGAAGCCTCCTTAATCTGTCCCAGTCTGTGAGTCCTGTGTGTTTATCATGTCACTGTGTCATGCTCAGCCTTTCACTCTATGGGAAAAGTGTTTCTATATGAGAGCCGGGATGGTGTGTCACATTGTGGATGGCAAAGTGGCCCCAGAAGCCATGGCCTCACGGGTTCCCTCTGGTCTTCAGCAGAGTAAAGAACAGGCAGTTCTGGCATTCAGAGTCCAGACCGCCCATGTGATTATGTGCCTGCCTTTCCTGACTCGGAAGAGAAGTTACCCTCCTCACAGCCAGGTCCAGCTATAGAGGCCCTGCCCTTTGCTGGTCTGGGCATGCATTAGGAGAGTAACAGAGATCAGGGCAAGATTTTAATGCATGCTAGGTGCCAGAGGGTCATGATCTGGCATCCCCCTCCTGCCCTGGCTGAGCTCTAGAGCAGATACAGGGCTGCTTGGGTATCTGTACTACACTGAGCTGAAGAGGATTGCTGCTGGGAATGAGAAGGAACACCTGGGGCAGGGTAGACTCAGCGAAGCAGAGGTCCACGGTAGGGAGACACATGGAGATGCGCAGACCCTGACTGAGTCTGGGCAGAGTGTTTCCTATCTTCCCAAGACCTGGCAGGGAGGGACTCACCTCCTCCTAACCCCTTCCCAGGTAAAAGTAGACAAGACCTGCGCCCTCGAGCACGTGACACGGAACCGGGTACGTGGGGGCCAGCGGCGCCGGCCACCAACAAGAATCCACTTAAAGGAGGTAAGCCCTTTCCTTGGCTTGGATAATGGGAGGTCAGCTGAGCCTGGGAATTCCAGGCCCTTGGGGTGCCAATCAATGCTCACGACTAACCTGGAGTTGGGGCTTGCTAAGTGGTATGTGTTTAGGAAGGACAACAGAGAGGCCTGGGTCCTTTTCCAATTGTGGTTTACACAGTGACCTTGGACAGAGAAAACAGGCTCGGGAAGCTAGGACCTGTGACTTAGTGATCACTTCCAGCAGGAAAGTAGGCCTATTCTTATTAGCTGTGACTAGTTCTGGTAGTAGAACAACTCTAGGGGATTGGAACAGGACCATGGAGGAGTAGTTGTGTATTAAACTGACAATACTTTAAATTCCAACAGCGCCGGTTTAGTGGATGGATGGGAGTGAGAGGGAGGAGGAATTGGTCTGAGCTGAGGCACTAGGCCTAACAATTTAGGGTGTGCTGAGGGGCTCAGCTGGCTTGGGGACTAGGCTGGGGATAAAGGGAGAGGAATTATAGAGGTCTAGAATGCAGGAGTCGGTGATGTGCTTGAAGAGATGTTCCAGAGATCAGTTTGAGATCCTTAGCAGGGTGGATTTGGGTTGAAAGGAGGGAGAAATAGAGGGATTCCAGGCTCTGTCAGGGGTTGAAGAGGAAGAGAAAGGGACTTATAATTCACAGTGGGAAGCAAGAGATGTTACAGGCCCAGATACAGGCAATTTGGGAGAAGGTATGGAAAGGGGGAAGCGGTAAGGAGCAGCCTCTAAAAGACCTGTAGAGCAGACAGGAAGAGACTTCCTCAGCAAATAAGACATTTAAGGGCTGTCAGCAGTGGCTACAGCAGAAGAGGAGGCTCTTTTTTTTGAGACAGGGTTTCTCTGTATTGCTTTGGAGCCTGTCCTGGAACTCGATTTGTAGACCAGTCTGGCCTCCAACTCACAGACATCCACCTGCCTCTGCCTCCTGAGTGCTGGGATTTAAGTAAAGGCATATGCCACTACCACCCAGCTTGAGAAGGCTTTTTAAAAGGAGTGGCTGGTGGCCGGGACAGCAGTGGTCAAGAAATGCTAGCAGGAGCAAGTGGACTTGGGTTTAGGACTTGGGAGCATCAACACAGGACCAGGCAGCATGGGAAGAACTGAGGAGGAAGTGGTCACATTTGCAGAGATTTTTCAAGGAGAAGGAGTCAGTTTAGTGCTGCCACGGGGTACAGAGCTGCAGGGGTCCCTAAAGGGGCTACCATAGGCAGGAAGAACACAGGGTCCTTAGTTGTTGATTGATGAGGTAGCCTGTTCTTATCTGTTAGATGAGAGAGAGGAGTCCCAGGGAAAAACTGAGAAAGGGCCAGCCAAGGGGAGGGTTACAGGAGGTTACATCCAGCCTTGGAGAAGAGACTCTGAGAATTTAAGGAGGGACAGACCTCAATAGTGGTCCCAAGTGTTGGCGGGCCAGAGCATGTGGTGAATGTAAAAGGGTGTGAGAGTCCCAGCCTGGACTCCACCCACCCCACCCCCACACCATCTGAGGGGCCTTGGAAGAAGCTTTCTGTTCATCCCTGCTTCATGGCCTCTGGAGCTCCCAGGAAGGCCCCCACACTGTGAGGAAGGTCCCGGCGTCCGTCAGGCCAAGTCAAGGGCTGAAAGGCTGGATAGACCTGTCTAGATAAGCAGAAGTAAGTGAAGTAGGCAATTTGGGGGAACTTATACTTGAACCAATGATCATCCAAGATGACACCTGGATACCGTCCTCACACCAGGTAGCCAGTGCAGCTTCTGATGGGCTTTTGCGCCTGGACCTGGATGTCCCAGACAGTGGACCACCAGTGTTTGCCCCTGTCAATGATGTCAGTGAGACCCAGCCCCAGGAGCCACCTCGGGCTCTCATGCCTCCTGTCAAGCCTTCCCCAGTTCCAGAGACTTGCAGCACTGATGACAGCATGGAGATTACTGCAGGAGAGAGAGCCCCAACTCCTGTCTCAGCAAGGCCTGAGGTCAAACCTGAGAGTGAAGAGGAGGCAGAGACCCCAGCGGAGGGAGACAGTGACTCTAAGAGGCTCCCCAACAGCACATTGTCTGAGAAACTGAAGGTGAGCTGGGAGAACTCCAGCCCAGAGGAGGCTGCTGCTCTTGAGAGTGCACAGCTGCCCAAGGTGCCCTCTTCGGAGACCCCAGAGGCTGCCCCCAGGGAGAGCAGAAAGCCCCCGGCACCCCCTCCCAAGATCCTATCAGAGAAGATGAAGGCCTGTATGGGTGGGATGGATGCTTCCACTACGCCAGGCTCAACACAGGTGTCTGTGAATGGCATGGATGACGGTCCCGAGTCTGCCATACCATCCCAGGCCATGGGCACCCCTGGAACTGCCCCAGAGGATTCATCAGCATCCCCAGCACTGCCCTCCTGGGACTTGCCATCCCAGTTTTATCCTCGCTCCTCTTCCCTGGGGGACCTACTCAGAGACAGGCCCCAGCATCCGCGGCTGCCCAAGGAAAAGTTGTATCGGGCCCAGCTGGAAGTGAAGGTGGCCTCCAAACAGACAGAGCAGTTGTTGAACCAGGTGCTGGGCAGCGAACCACAACCTGTGTGTGCTGAGTCGTTGCTCAGCCAGGCTGTGGAGCAGCTGAGGCAGGCCACCCAGGTCCTGCAGGAAATGAGGGATTTGGGAGAGCTAAACCAAGAAACACCTGGCCTAGTGCAGAATCGGAAGGAGCTGGTGACCCTCTACAGGAGAAGTGCACCCTAGGCCTGCCAAGCCCAAGGCACAAACTCACCTTCCCAAGTCACTGCCCAGCCAGCTTTGCTGAGAAATGAGCTACAGCCCAGGCTGTAGACACACCATTTGAGACATCCAGTTTGGCCAGGACTTAAAGCTCCTGATGTCCTTTCTACCTTACCCTGGCTCTTGGTGCCAGGTATCACCTGGGGCTGTTCTGGCCTCTTTTCTAGGCTCTGGGCTTGGGATGGATCACATGCTCCTGTGGTCTATGTGGTTACTGCAAACTGCCCCAGGACTTTGGCACTGTGCTTGGAGTTTCCGGGATGGCATCATCTCTGTCCTCACCCCCAATAGTTTACATTCCTGACTTCTGTGGAGAGCACAGCTGAGCTGCCTGAGGCTCCCATCTCCTAGTCATCAGGCAGCTTCCAAGGTGCCACACCCACTTATTATGAGCAGCTCTAGGGGCCTTGGGTCCAGGCTGTGGGCTCATCTGTCAGCTGAGTGAAATCTGGCCCTTAGCTGGAGCCTAAAGATGGGCAAGCTTCTGGGTGAAGGAGCCATTTGCTCTGTGTGTTGAGCCTTCTGCAAACCACAGATCTTTCCCACAGTGTCCCTTCCCCTTTGGAGAACTGTGATTAGATAGATGGTCAGATCTCAAGGTTTTCAGGGCAGAAGAGGAACCCCAACCTCCTGGTGCAGTCTCTGCTCCTGGGCTAGCTTCTGTCCAGCCTTGCACATTCCTAAAGACGAAAACCCTAGAGTGGCCCGTGTTACCATCTGGAAAACCTATATGTAATTATCATTAATCAACCTTTTGAGTCTCTGCCCCCACCCCCGCCTTCTGTGCCTCCCAGATGGGATTTATCTGGGTCTCTATGAAGTTCTTCCTCAGCTGAGACAGCTCTGATATCCACCCTCTTCCCTTCACCTGCTGGAGTCTGTGGCTACAACCCACCTATCAGGCCCCTGGCGGGCTGCCCCTCCTTAGCTTCTTAATGAGAGGAGTGGTTTCTCCCCCCTCCCCTCCTCCCTCCTTCCCCTCTCCCCTCCCCTCCTCCTTTCCCTCCCCCCTTCCCCATTGTCTCTGGCTCTCTGGGCCCCCCTAGAGTCTCCAACCCACTGCAGCAGCCGGCAGGACTGAGGCTGGAGTCTGGGCTGCAGCACTGGGGGAGGAGGAACCCTCACATAGGATTTGCATGTGCACTTTTGTTTACTGGAAGAGAAGGGAGGGTCACAGCAGCCAGTGGCTTTTCCACTCACCCTGCTCCCAGCCGCCAGTTGTGCCCACCAAAGCCTGCCAGCCAGGGCAGGTTAATGCCTTCATTACTGTACTGTCACTTTCTTGCTGTGGGTAGTAGGCAGTGGCAGAGTAAACAGCAATGTCTGGCTACTGAGCCTCCCACTATCAGCCTCAAACCACACTCCTTGGGCTCTTATGCCAGCCTGCCTTACCCTCCATCTCAAGAGCAAGAATGTCTTCAGGTGTCTGTCCAGTCCTGATCTCTGCCATCTTCCCTTGGGAACAATCGTCCCCTATAGCAGCAAGGGCTGCTGGATTTCTGCCAAGTCACCTGCTTCCAGGGATTAGAGCCCCAGTCTGTGCTGTCAAGTGACTAGTTGGGCAAGCAGTCTTGGGGCAACTGTCTTAATGGCCAAATGTCATTGGTTCCCTTGCTGGAGAGGTGGGTTGAGGATGGGGACTGCACAGGACTGCCTCCATGTCACTGTGGAAGGAGGCAACCAGTGTCTTCTGCTTATGAACCATCTTTCTTGAAATTTGGCAATAAATTTCATTTTATGGAACTTTTCTGCCCCAAGCCTGTATGTTGGTGTGGGAGCTAGCACTGAGGCCGGCCCCCAAGGAGCTAGGGGCTTGTGGCAATTGGTCAGTGGCAAAATCAGCCTTCCAAACTCAGTTCTGGTAGTTTTCAAGCTTTGAAACACTTAAATATTGTCCAGGACAACTAGGACTATTGCACAGAAAAACATTGTCTCAAAAAAAAAAAAAATCAAGATGTTTTAAATAAATAAGTAACTCAACTTATTCTGTCTTTTGGGAACATACAGTGATAACCACTGCAGACTTAAAGTCAGTGTAACAGTTTGTTGGGTTTTGTTATTTCTTTCTTTTGAGACAGGGTCTCAGTCTGTAGCCCTGGCTGTCCTAGAACTGATTATGTATATCAGGCTGGCCTCTACTCACAGAGATCCTCCTGCCTCTGTCTCCCAAGTGCTGGGATTAAAAGTGTGCACTTATTTTACTTCACTTTTTTTTTTTTTTGAGACAAGTTCTACTATGCAGCCTTGGCTGACCTTGTACAAATTCACATCAGTCCTCTTGCCTCAGCCCCCAGAGTGGTAGAGTTACAGGTATGTGCCATCATGCCTGGTTCTGATTCTTTGTCATTTCTCTTTTTAGTTTCCTCTAATTTGAAGTATTTCCTCAGCATGTTTTTCTTTTTTATAAACATTGACTTTCTATTGTTGTCTTTAAAGATTTTCTTATTTTAATGTGTATTGGTGTTTTGCTTGCGTGTGTGTCTATGGGAGGGCTTAGATCCTTTAGAACTGGAGTTACAGACAGTTGTGAGCTGCCATGTGGGTCCTGGGTTTTGAACCTGGGTCCTCTGGAAGAGGCAATGCTCTTGACCGCTGAGCCATGTCTCCAACTGTTTTGTTTTCTTTTTATTTGAAGTAGCCCATGCTGTCCTTAATGTTGTTACGAATGAGAATGATATGGACTTGTGATTGTCCTGCCTCCACCAGCCATGAGCTGTGGCTGCAGGCAGACACCCTTCCCCCGCTCATTTATTTCCCAGTCCTTTCTGGGTGTTGCTATATTGGGTGTGTGCTCCCTCACCCCCAGGCAGGGCTTCTCTTTTGCCCTTGTTGTCCTGGAACTCCAAGATCCACGGTCTTTGTTTCCTCTTGCAACTAACAAGTGCTCTGGAAGGTATAGAGGACCAAGCAAAATAAGATGGACGTCATTCCCATGTCCTCCAGTGTCTACTGATGATGCTCGAGGAACAAGTGTTTACCCACAGTGGTTCCAAAATGGTGGCTCTCTTAAACCCTCAGAGCTTGCTGGGCCCTGGTTAGGGGTGAACCTGGACCCCTGCCATCATACTTCCTCTGACAAGAGTGTTCGGGAAAGCCCTGGGCTAGATCTCACGTTAAGATGTCAGGGTGTAAGTCCCACCTTGGAATTGCCTGTGAGTCTTAAGCCTTAAGGGTGAGTCTCATTTTCCTCACCCACAAAGGGAGATCGCAGCGGTCTCCCCCTTGTGTGGGAAAGCACCATTGTGCTTGCCAAAGATTGGCTCCCATCGTCCGCTGTGGCTCTACTGGACAGGCCCTGTGGCCAACATAACAGGAAGCACCTGACCTGGGATGTATGAACTGTGGCCATGACCCTTGTGAATTCCCCTGTCACCAGCCTGGCATGTGACAGCCGTATGGAGTCAGGGGTCTGCAGATGCTGGGAGACCTCAGATGACACTTCACATTTATAGGCCCCTTCCTCTGAGAGGAGTCTCCTTACTGATGGGAGTCTCTGTTTAACTCTGACCCAGGAACTAGCTTACTGGGATGGTGCTGGTGGCCAACACTGGGCTACGGAAGGATGTGGTAAGAACTGTTTTTCCCTCTAGTCTTGGGGACTGGAGGCCTGTGCAGAAAAGGGGAGCCTTCCTTTTGAACACATGCTGCTGTCACCTTGGGCGTCCTGTGGGTAGTTCAGCAAACCATGACTTGGTTGGTTTTGCACAGAACCCAGCAACAAGAGGAGGTCTGGGTGAGCAGGGGTGTTCCTCTCCACTCCCACTCATGCTTAGGCCCTGGAAGCCCCCTTTGTGTAGGTTTTTTTTTTTGTTTTGTTTTGTTTTGTTTTTGTTTTTTGTTTTTTTTCTCTTCTGTTTTTGTCTCCAAGTCTCAGACCTAGTTAACAGGGCTCTTGAACTAAATAATTAATTAAAACAAAAAAGAACAAACATAAGAAACCACCATAGAAAATTCACTCTAGCCAAGCATGTTGGAGATAAATACCTTTGTTGTTGTTTGTTTGTTTGTTCATAGAGACAGGGTTTCTCTGTGTAGCTCTGGCTGTCCTGGAACTCACTCTGTAGGCCAGGCTGTTCTTACACTCACAGAGACCTGTACTGCCCAGTGGGTAAGGCACACCTTTGATCCCAGCACTTGAGAGGCAGAGGCAAGCAGATCTCTCTGTGAGTTTGAGGCCAGCCTGGTCTACAGAGCAAGTTCCAGGACAGCTAGGGCTGTTATACAGAGAAGCCCTATCTTGAAAAACCAAAACAAACAACAACAAAAACAAGATTCTGGAGGAAACAGGGTCTAAGAAGGGAAAAAACAAACAAGGATTTTGAGTTTTGGAAGAGAATATTACCTGGATTCAGCTCCCAGGAATGAGGGCAATTATGTAGCTCAACCACACACACTTACTTGCCTAGCACAAATGAAGCCTTCGGTTCTATGCCTGGCACCCAATAAAACCCAGTCAGGTGGCATATAATCCCTGTGCTTAGGAGGTGGAGACAGGGATCAAGACAAATTGCGCCTCAGTTCAAGGCGGAGTGCCTCTATTTCTCCTGTTTGTAATGTGGACTAATTCTGTTGGGTGCTAAGTCTACTATAGAGTACTTAATAAACCCCAACACTCTAGCCTCACAGAGCACTCTTGAATTTTTCTCATCACAGAACCCTCATGAGAAAGACATAATGTTTACCCCACTTGACAGCCTATGACATTAAGGATTAAGCAATTTGCCTAGGAGACCAAAGTTATTATTAGGACTAGGGGATTTGACCCTGTGGCAGGGCCTAGCCTGGGCCCATGACTGAAGACTTGCTTCTAGTTCTTAGAGGGTCTGTGCTTCAGGTGGATGCTCAGCCCAGACACTTGGGCTTGGGCCATCGCCATTCTCCACATCTGCAGGATGCCCTAAGGCCCTGCCTGGTTCTTCACCAGCAGGCCAGGGGCAGAGAGTGTGCTGCTGCTGCTCAAAGGGCCTTCCCTTATAAGGACAACTACTTAGCTCTGATGAAACCTCACGGTCTCCAGCTGGGTGGGCGGGGGAAGGGAAATGACTGAGGCTCCAAGGGCTACAGCTGACAGCCCCAAGCTTCTGCAGGAACCCACCCACAGCCTCTCTTGTCCCATCCAGTGTGAGCTACTCAGAGTGGGGCTTTCCATAAAGTCTCGACTGGGGATGAAAGGAGGGTCAAGCCAGGCCTGGGAGACTGGGAGAGGAAGGTTTAAGCTCAGAGAAAGGGACACACTAAATTGAAGTGAAGTAACAGAACCCCTCTGGAGCAGAAAGGTTGGGAGTTTTAGGCCTGGAGGCCTGCAGCCCACTGATGCTCAGCTGGCTAAGTCCTCTAATGGCCCAGATGCTCCTGAGCAGGGAGAGGGTGGGCTGGTCAGTTGACAGTGTTACCCTGTAGTCCTCCTGAAGTTCATGTCCTCAGACTCACCAGCCCACTGTCCAGCTGAGAAACCAATCATGGAGTCACAGGATATGGAGATTGACAAGCATCTCTCAATTACCAGTTTTAGATGAGGAAGTAACAGTTCAGAGGGAGGACCCAAACTTGCTTATCTGTTGTGCTAAAAATGTGTGTGGTATGCGTGTATATTTGGCTTTTCTTTGGTTTCTTATTAAAAGTTCCTTTTAAAGAAATCTCAAACCAGAACAGGGTGTGGTGGTACATTCCTGTAATCCCAGCACTTGGGAGGTAGAGAGGCAAGAGGGTCAGGGTTTAATGTCATCCTCAGCTATCTGTTGAGTTTGAGGCTAGCTAGCCCAACATGAAACTCTGTTTCAAAAAAAAGAAAAAAATCAACCCCAACTAGGTTAGGGGTGTGAGTTGGTGGTAGAAGGCTCATCTCGCATGTAAAAGACCCTGGATTTCACCCCCAGCACTAAAACAGAAAAGAAAGAAAGGAAATCCCAACTTGATAGCTACATACAAGCAAAAGGCTTTTCCATACTCAGCTCTAGTTATGTGTGGGAGTGGTGTTTCCTTGGAGACTGCATCTATCGAGTGGGGGTGGGGTGGGGGGGTTGTCAACACTGGCATGATGCCATATCTCAAGAGAAAACCATGTGTGACAGGGAATTGGTCGCTAACAGCAATGTTTATAAGCTGTGTGGCCTGGGCTGGCTGCTCAGCCCCTCTGAATGTGTCTTATCTGCCAAGGAGGGATTTTTTTTTTTTAAGGATCATTTTGGTAAGACATCTAGCCTGGGGCCTATCATACAGTAAAGACTTAGCTAATGGGTAATGCATTTACTCAGTACCAGCATTGGTGTGTAGATGCCAAATATAAGAAAACTGGGTCTACCTGCATGTTGCTCCCTGCCACTCAGGAGACAGTAAACACAGTGGGGTATGTTCTTCATTAGATGGTCAAATTCTATAGGAAAGGGCAGAGATCCTTGGCTGCTTCCAGTGGGGGAATGAGATATGGCCTCATGCAGGAGGTGACCTTTATCTGGGATGTGTAGGACGACTTAAGAGTTTGCCCAACAGGAGTAGGGGAGGACATCTGAGACAGATTGAACGGAGAATAAAATTTTCTAGACCTACAGTGAGTTCATTGTGGATATCCTGTAGGGGAGGCCTCGATAAGGGAGGGAGAGGGACCAGGCAATGAGGCAGGAAGAGGCTGAAGGTGAAAATGCTTATCCAGAATGCTTGGACTTTGTCCTCGAAGGTGTCAGAGAGGACAGGTAAAGGCTGAGGGATGGAACCTGGACAGAAGGAAACTCATCAGGAAGCAGTCA